TGTTAAAATGCAAAGCAGAAGAACTCTCTAAAAAGCTGGGCCATGATGACTTTGCTAGCAAAGTCAGTGCAAAGGTCAACATCTTACAAGCAGTTACATTTGTGGCCGACAGCTGGCGAAAAGTGAGCAGTGAGACAATTCAGAACTGTTTTTCTCACTGTGGCTGGCTTTAAGCACTTGGTTTTGGAGATGGATGTGGACATGCTCATTGAAAGTGAAAATGGTGACTTACATGTGGAATTTCAAGAGGGACAAAATTGCGAAGAATTTTTATCCATCGACAATGAGCTTCAATGCTACAATGAAAATGAAGATTACGACGCTGCAATCGTTGCAGCAAAATACCCAACAGCATCGGAAGACCAAGAAAGTGATGATGATTATGCCGCTAATAAGTTGGTATACAGGATGCGAGGAAATGCATTGAAACTTTGCATCGATATTTCATGCAGAATGAAGAAATTTTTTTAAATGAAGGCAGTCCCATTGGTGCATGAGATGTTTGTGGCGATTTCGTTCAAGTGCAGTCTGTCAAGAGAACGTGTCAGATCACATTGGATAAGTTCTTTAAATGTTGACTGGAACTTGGTAAGAAATTGTTTTTATTGTGCTTCACATGTTGAGCATCGTGGAGACCATTTCTTAGGATTTGTTTCCAAATTAATTTTCTCAACGAAAAAAGTTCAACTGTATTTCTTGTTTGTACATGTATGTTCGCCATACGTGTGTACTGCACCATAAAGTGCATAATTACATTTTAGTACATGATTTACATGTACATTTACTGTTTGCTACATATAGCACATTCCGTCTTACAACACAGGACATGACTTACAACACAGCTATGTTCTTTATCGAAAAAAGATCAAAATTTATTTTCCTTTCCAATCTCAATTAACAAAATGCGATTGATTTTGTTGCAAAATATTTGTTGTTGATTATTGTTTGTTGATTTCCATTAACAAAATGCGATTGATTTTTGTTGTCTATTTTTAATTGAGTTTTGTGCTATGAATTTTAAAATTTTACGTCAAGTTTTTATGAATAAAGTAAGGCTTTAATTAGAGCAGTTAGAAATATCATACACAAATTGCTAATCATTATTATTATATTGAAAATTTAAATATATAATGCTGTTTTTCTTATTATATAGAATTTTCAAAATGTTGCACTCTTTTATAAAGTTGAGTACAATTTTACGGTATCAAAAAAAATTATTTTTTTCATAATTATATTTAATAAAACTAGGTAATGAATTAAGATTTGTGAAGATTTTATTTAAGGAAGGTTATTTTTGTATAATTGTCTGAATGCCTTTTAGTATTTTGAATTTTGAGTGATATCATTGTTTAAAAATTTAGCTTCTAAGAATTTCCTAAATATTTCAAGAACGAAGTGAATATAAACTTTGAAGGTTCCCATCTTATGAAAAAATACTTTATTTCTTCACATATTATTATCATTTTTATTTATAATGGAGGTTAAAATTTTTTGTATATAAATGGAATGTCTTAGCACAGTTCAAAAAGGCCAGTTGCCTTTAAATAAGGAAGATGTTTTTAAAAGTAATTGTCTAACAACCCTTAGCCACTGGTGCAGAACCTCAGTTTATTTAAGTGGGTTTGCCCATAAGAAGGCTATGTTAGCATTCAGAGAAAACTGTAGGGTCTTCCAGTTAGTACATAATAAGTAAAATATATTTTTTTTAATAAATAGCATAATCTCAGTAAAAGTATTTCAAAGGATGCTAAATGAAATGAAAATTAGTTACAAAATTTTAAAATTAGCTGTGATCATATACAATAATTAATGGATGCATTCAAAATTTTTATACTGTCTGAAAATTTTAAAAAGCCTTCTCTAAACACTTTATGAAGACAATAAATTTAATTGTGATAATTTTACTTCCCAGTTTAATTCTTTCTCTTAATCTGGCTTCTTTTTTTTTTTCTAATTTTTTTAACTGCTATTACTATAGAGTAATGTAAAATTCTGTTTACTAAATTTTTAATACATAACTTGAACACATATGTTGTTCATCTAAACCTGAGTTTTAAAATTTTGTATATTTATTCTTTTTCATTGCAAGTAAATACTGCAGAGGAATTATTAAGGCCAAAAAATTAAATCAAAACTCTTGACTTTTTCCCACAGTACTGTCCTACAATACTAAAATTCTGTTACTTTGTATAAGAAACAGAGGATTTTATATGCAACTGCATTATGCATCCCACAGCCACCAGCAAGTAGTTATGCTGATTCACTTGTAGAGGACCAGCCCATTTTAATCAAATGTTCTCTTACATATGTTTTTTTTTTTTTTCTGAAATGAATATGGGATGTATTTTAAACATATTATTTTTTAATTTGCTGCATTATTACCACCATCTTTTGCTGTTCTCAACACTCTGTCGCATTACTTTTTAAAATATATATTTCTTGGTACCTGCATTTACATGTAGGGGATAAAATATAGCAAACCACACTCTAACTGCAAAAAGTGCAGTAAATGTGTAATGACAGATTAAAATCATAAAAGAAAGAAGATTATCAGGGATCAATGAAAAAAATGATAATTTACCTAAATATGCAAAATAAAATATAGCATATCCTTTTTGTATCCTTTGGAATTGTAGTCTACTGAATTTACATAGAGTTTTCTTTTTATAAGGGTAAATCTTTAATCACTTATTTCTCCTTTACTGTAAATCATATTCTCGTTTTTATTTTTTATTTTGTTTCCAAAAAAAGTTTAATTAATTGCTTTAATGGGTTTAAGTTTATGCTGGGATTTTAAGAAGTCGCTCAAGGTTATTATTTATCATTTACTCCTCAACTGCTTAGAGATATATTTTATTTTTAGGAAACAACATCTTCCAGCATTTTCAAGTTTAATCTTTCCCTGTCCCCAACATCAATCTACTTTGCATTTCACAAGTTTAGTCTTATATGTATACATGTAGAAAAACGTTTCAGAAGAAAAATATAAGAAGCCAGCAACTGTTAACAAAAGATGGACTTTAGAATATAAGCAATAAGTTACTCCAAATGTTAAAATACTGTGCCTTTTAAAAGCAAATATGCTTAACAATACTACTGCCTTGTAGTGAGAAAGCAGAACATTACCATCATTAACTGACTAATACAATCATCTTCCTGTACATTTTTATATGAATATGCCTCTATTTCAACATTCAAAATAATGTTCAGATAATTCAGGGAGGAAAAAATAATTTTTTACAATTTTTAAAATAATCAAAAGCAATGAAAATAATCTACTTGAAACCGAGGATTAGTCTACCATAGTTTGTTCCTGTAAGATTCAAATCTTAGTTAATTAAGGCTGACATGTTACAAGATGCACATTTTAATAACTTCATTTCTAATATAAAAATGGGAACTGACATGCAAAATAATATTAAAATTTAATTGATATACTTTTAAAAAGTTTATTTACAAGATGAAGTAATGTTAACTGCACTTCAGTTGTTTTTCAAATCATAAAGACTTGATTTCTGGAAAATTATGATTATAACACAGTTGTCCAACTTTTACGTTATTACAATAACTTGTGTAATTCATAAAATAACAAATGAAATTCAAAATAACACGATAGATTTTTTATTATCAGCTCTTTTAATAATGGTTTGATTTTATTGATATTATATTTCATACATTTGATTCAGAAATTTTATTAGCAACACTATTAATAATGATTTAATTTCATAGAAGTCATGATTATAGCAGAATTATCAAATTTGCAATGAAAATATGACTGTATAGTATTTTTTATCATCATTCAACACTTTCAACAAAATCATTTAATTCCTGAGCCATTATGATCAATGCAGGCTTGTCCAACCTATTTCACTTATTTAGTTGCTACATTTCAAATCTACAGCGAGTGTTAGCCAAACAATGTATTTCTCTGTTGATAATTAAATACTTTATAAATTCAGCTTTAATTATCCATACTTTTTATTTAATAAGCATATCAGTGATCCAAATCCAAATATTTATGAAAAGTGCAATAAAACAAAAATTTTGTTTTTATAATAATCAAGGCCTCTTAAATTAGAAATTCTGAAGTTAATTTGTTGGACAAGCCTAATACAGTAGATATTAAAACTATGAAGTAAAAATTTAATCAGAATGTGGATATTAAATGAAAAGTTAAATTTAGTCTTTAACAAAATTTAATAATTTTTGTGATACTTGCGTATTAGCCAGCACCTACTGAAACCCTACTAAAAATGTACCCTTATATAAAAACATACCTACCCTTGATTCGTGCAAAAAATTAAAAACAGTACAGATTTTTAAATAAAAATGAGATTTTCAATCCCCCCTTTTTCTCAGAGGACGAGGGGCAGAATTAAAGCAGACAGTGAACATGACTTTATTCCAATATTAATTTCAGACTAATTACAGCAAATACATTTCTGCAATGCATCATACTTTTAACAGGCTTTTACTTACAACGAGTTTTCAAGAAAAATTTTTTCATATCAAGTTAATTTTTACTGTTTTTTACATTGTGCATTTACTATATTTATCAAGAAATAAAAGACAAGCAATCCGTTTTTTCCAAGCTTCTTGTATTCTGCCAAAAAACCATGAATATTCCTAGTTTCTCACAATAATACTATACACGATGAAAGATGTAGAATTATAATGTCAATAACAACCGAAAAAGTATTAAAATAAGAGCTTTATTGAGAGAAATTATTTTCTTTTTTATTTAGCAGATTTCATATGCACGCAGAGACAAGCTGTAGAGAAAAATAGCTTGACAGAATTTTGAATCATATAGTCAAATAATACTTGCCAGAAATTAATAAAATATGTTTTATCAATCTGCTGATGCTGAAGAAGGAAACAAGAGATTGCTGGTGGTGTACTGGCTAATAAACAAGTACCAATAAAACTTATAATTTTTTGTTTCAATAACATACTTTAAACCCTGGGGGGGGCAAAAAAGAAAAATTAATGTTTCTCACCCTTGTGTTCACGCTCGCTCTCCCCATCACTCTCTATAAAGCACATGCAGCAGATGGTGTGCAGCAAAATGAAACGGGAAAAAAATAACTCAAATAATAATGACATCAACAATTCACTTTTCAGGTACTACAAAAATATCAGAAGTGCAAATTAATAAATAAAGTTTGATAATAAGTGGACAAATGGAGCAGGAATTTGACGCACAGAAAGCTCTGCTCTTTGTTTCTACAGAATGGCAATGCTGCGCAACCAAAAAAAAAAAAAAAAAAACTGCTCTATATGATACTTTTTGAATAGAACTACAACTTACTATATCCCCAAAACAACTACAGTTACTAATGCAGGGAAAAAAACATGTTAATAATAATGCCTGTAAAAAAAATGATTCACCATTTAAAAAAGAACCTTTTGATTTCGATACAAAAAAAAAAAAAAAAAAAAAAAAGGAATTTCACAAATAAAATTAAAAAAGATGACTACTCTGTTAGAAATTTAAATATTTGTCATTAATCAAAACTAACCTGAAGAAGCGTAATCTCTGCGACGAGCATATCCACCTAAAACATGAAAGGATCAACATGAAATGTCTGTTATGCAACAACTATTTATTCATAAAAGTCTGGTTTATAAATAAGAAACCTCCAGCAAAATTAAATACATGCAGTGCAAATGTTTCATGGAAAGTATAAACAAATGAAAATGTTAAATTTACTTGTGAAAAGATTGCAATTTAAAAATGGTATACTAAATAAATAAACAGTATAATAGGAACTTATGTATTATTTCCATTGATCGTGAAACTGCTGCCAAGCAGTGTGATTTAACGTCATATTCGTAACATCTGCACTTTTATTTGATGCAACTTAAACTGATTCTCAATAAGCCATGTTTAGTTTTTGTGAACAAGGATATAAATTAACCGTTATTCCTTTATTTTTTTCTTGCATTATGGGAAAAAAAAAGAAAACTAAAATTTGTAAACTGTGATTTTTTTTTCAAAGTTATGGGTATAATCAAACAAAGTTATGGGACATAATCAGCGGTGATAGTGACCCCATTTCAAAAATCCTGAAAACGACCCAAGTAAAAACCAGAGATAATTTTAAATAATTCCGAATATTAATGTGACATACATACATGTATACACACAAATTTAATATAATTGTGCAGTAATATCATCAAATATAATTGCATAGTAATGGACATGATATGATCAGCTGAATATGGCTAACAAAACAACAACAGACTTAAACAATTATCTATGGGAAGTTTTCTCTAAACAGAGGGCCTAACAGATTAATAGAAATCAAGGAAAGCCCTTTTCAAGAGCAAAAATAAAGCAGATCGAGTACTGATTGTTTCCTAAATAAGTACTGTCAGTTCCTTCAAAACTCCACAGCAACGATTGGCACTATTTTGGCAGAATCTTCACTAACTTTTATGGTTCAACGGTAGCCAACTTTTGCAGTTAGCGGTAAAATATGCAAGTACCATATAATATAATCAGGTGTGATAGTGACCCATTTCAAAAATCCTGAAAACTACCTGAGTAAAAATCTGACATAATTTCAAATAATTCAGAATATTAATGTGACATACATATGTTAATGTAATACATACGTAATATACATTAATATTAATATAATCAATACATACATTAATACAAATTTGTTTGGTTTCTCAATATTTTAAAATAATTACTATGTTTATCTTCGCATTTTTTTTGGGGGGGAGGATGGGGTTAACTTTCAGAACTGCTGCATTTACACACTTTTCTTTGCTATAATTGAAAGTTTAGTAAGACCAGCAAGCCATTTTGACGTAAATAGACTTTTCCTTTCACTTAACCCTTTAGATATTAGATTAGAACCTGCAGCAAGTGCATTAATACAGCCCTGAGAGGAAATTTATGATCTAAAAATTTCACATGTATTTTCGTTTAATGAGAATAAATAACACTTCATAGTATCTAAACTGTCAGTGTTTTCAAGGATATTCTACAGTCTGTCATAATACCAACACATAATTAAATGCATGTTCAGCTGTGGGTCCATGAAAGCAGATTAACCCTCTAAGTGGCAAGAATATTTTTTGTAATGCCTTTAAGAACGTATATATACGTGCATATTAAAATATGTCAAAGAAATTAAGGCAATATATCAAAAGAAAACAAATCCAGGTATGAAATACCAGGAGAGTTTTTACATTAAAATCAAAAAAATAATTTTTTCTCATAGTAGTTTTGGGAAATTTGTGCTTTCTTAGCGAAAAAAACTGGCCGCTCAGAGGGTTAAAACAAATTTAATTTGTTTAACTTCTAAAACAAATTTAATTTGTTTTGTCTATAGTAGGTATTCCTGTTCTGCTTCTTTTAACTTGCAAATTTCAGCTCAAAATTTACATACTGGATCATATTGGGCCAGACCTGAATACCACAGCATTTACTTTTCTGTAGAAAATTTAGTGTTCCATGTTTGGTTGTCACCTCCGTTAACTTTTGAAATAATCTTCTCCCCTCTCCCTTCTATTGCTCTGATATGAAAAGATTCTGGAAAATTTGAACTGTTATTCAAATATTTTTTATAAAGTTTAATTGAGAAAATAGACCCAAAGCTTCAAGTATTTTAAATATCTACATCATTTACGAAATTGTAGTTGACTTTTTAAAATAAATATAAGTGAATTATTAAAAAATCTTCTTACATTTGTTTACTACTAAATGCAGATTTCAAATTTAGCTTTACTTGAAAATTTTAATATATTGAGCTTCAAAAGATTCGAGAAACTTAGGGGATAAGGGAAGGATAAGTTTTTTTTTTTAATAAATTTAAGTATCTGCTTTGTGACTATTAATTTATTTATCATTATATAAATACTAGCACTTTTAATTTTCTTTTTTTCTTCAAACAGGCAATCACAGTTTTCATTATCTAAAAATAACACCTATTCTACATTATCATTATATAAATACTAGCACATTAATTTTCTTTTTTTTCTCAAACAGGCAATCACAGTTTCATATCTAAAAACCTATCTACAATCATTATTATTATAATACTAGCACATTTAATTTTCTTTTTTTCTTCAAACAGGCAATCACAGTTTTCATTATCTAAAAATAACACCTATTCTACATTATCATTATATAAATACTAGCACATTTAATTTTCTTTTTTTCTTCAAACAGGCAATCACTGTTTTCATTATCTAAAAATAACACCTATTCTACATTTCAGCATTTATTATTATTCAGATTAAGTTTTAACAAACATATTTATTCTTATCTTGCTCTCATCAGTAATTAGAGACTTACTTCCTAATACTGTTAAAATATAAATGCACTTCAAAACTACCAAGAATATGTTTTATATGCATAAACTTACCTGAAATGTCAGCTCCTTCCTCCAGATCCCCTAATGCATCATTATCTTGGAAGCTTAGTTCTTCATATAATGTATTAGGCCTATGACGTTCACTATAATAAGTATTTCATTATACAATTTACTTGTTGCATATAATATTTTGAAATGTTCTAAAATATCATGCATTAGAATAAAATTTAATTACATTTTACTGTAAAATTACTACCAAAGAAAACTTTAAAAAATACAGAAAATTCTCTCATGTAGATCATTTTCCTAAGACAACTATTTTTCTCCTTAACATGATGACCACAGCCATCAAAACGTATAATTTTGCTATCAAACTAAATTTAGTTTAAGTACTAAATAAATGAAGGAGTTAATTTCCAATTTTATTATAACCGAAAAACCTGTTTGTAGAAAACAGTATTTTGCAAAGTAAACAGCTATAAATAGCTCAAGAAGGTTCCCTGGTTGCAGACATCTGTCAAATTTTACTAAACATGCGAAATACATTGAAGATCATTGGTATCAAACATAAAGTAACTTCTAAAGCAGTAATCGCAGAATTAAGAACTGACTTGCTCAATTTAATCTCTGACATGAATTAGCTTCCTAGCTTAAACGTGAGCATTTACATAGGGCTGCTCAGCCTTCTTGAAGCTTAGGAGAAAAATGCTCGTAAAGCTTCAAAATACATTTCCCAAAAACTTCTGGACTGTTGCCAAGAGTCATCGGGAGAATTTCTGCCTATAACTTAGCTTCTACTTGAGTTATTTGTATAGTTTAAATGTTTATTGGTTCATAATAACAAAATAGATAATACTGCAATGAAATATATGTTTGCAAATATAATATATGGCTATAAATTTCATTTAACAAATATGGACATAAAATTATTCTATATAATGTAACAAATAAATAAAAACCAAATGTAACATTACAAAAATCAAAATACAATAAAAAAATACACACAAACATTTACAACAGTATTATTATAGCTTTGGCAACAAAACATTTTTATTTGCAATATGTTAAAAATTTTACATTTTAACCATCATATGCTTGAATAATATACACAGTTATTTAAAGAATTTTTTATTAATTTAAGTAAGATATAAAATAAAACTACTAGCTAAACTAATTTGGTGTATTAATATAGATAATTATTAAACAGTATATAAGTAAGTGAAATACAAAATAAAATTACTTAGGTAAAATATATTTGGTGATTAAAAAAAGTTGGGGATAATTCTGAAGAGTGATAAAATACATCAAAAGAAATATTTTCCATCATGCACTGCATGGTCAAATGGTACTAAATTGTATTAAAAATATCACTCTGCAAGAAGGTTTTAATAATGGAACAGAATCTTGAATTTTTTAGTAGCACTAGGCCACAATGAATTTAAGGCAAGTAGTGGACTGTATAAAAAAAAAAATTCACAAAATGCTAAGAGACTGTGATAAAAGCAATATAAGTTTGAAAAATGAAAAGGTGAGAATAAATGAAAATACATTAAATATATATTTTTTCAATCATTATAGTCTGTTACTTTAATTGCTCCTCAAGTCAAAATTTAGTCATGTGCTTTTCATGAAATGAAAAACGCTAAACAGAGATGAAACAACGGGGAAAATTAAGGAAATCACCTTTTTTCCACAGTTGTCGTTTCTCTGCTTACAAATCTAATTTGGAAGGGGAAAATAATCTTGAACTTTTTTAAAGTAGCAGACTACAGCTCTTAGCTCACATCTTTTAAATTAATTCTCTGATAGAATGAATGAGCAGCACGACCACTTTTATCAGGTCATGAGATTTTCTGCCATTTAATATATATTAACTTCTTATTTAAAATAACTTTTATGTATTTTAAATAATTTAAAAATTATCTCTATGAATGAAAGGCTATGAAAACAAATGATAACATAAATGATTACACATATCTAGTAAATAAATATTATTTAAATACAGCTTTTTCCACAGTAGATCCAAAAAGCTGCCCCACTTGGTTAAAATTTAATTTACATTGCAAGAGATATATATGTACATTTAGAACATTTAAGATTGAAGAGAATATTTTTTTCACTAGAATGTTTGCCAAAACTGCCATTCAACAAAATCTCTTATTTAATGAAGCTTCATGTAGGATTCTGTGACTTTGTTAAACAGAGGTCCCACTGTTTATATAAAATATAAGTTTACAAAACAACAGAAACAATAAAATTCGACTTGAACACTTTACTATTATTAAAAATAAAATACCTTTTCATGGTACTGTTATCAAGATCAAAGTTATATCCATCCATTTCTTCGATTTCATCCATTTCTGGAGTTGTAACTAAAGCATCATTAAGATTAACATCCAAGTCATCCACCCAACCATCTCCTATAATTTAATAAAATATCAGCAATTTCACATTTGATAAGCAAAATATATTAAATAAGCATTTAAAATTCTAAATTATTCAAGAATGTCATTTTTATCATTAAAATAAAACTATCATTCTGTAGCTGAGCATTTAATGTGCATTACAAATGCCTCTGTGAAATATTATAATGAAATACATGTTTATGAAAATTTTCAATTAGATGTATTATAAACAGGGTTGTGAAATTGGTAGGGAAAATGACTGACTCTGACTCCGACTCCTGGAATTTTAAAAACTCCGACTCCCTCACATATATATGTAAACATGTACACATGGGTTACAGCTTATTTTTTTTTTAATATAAAAGAAGTAATAGATGCTAAAGGGAAAAAACTGATGGTGTAGCAAAATATTTATATTAATTAGCATTTATTATGAAATGGAAAAACTGGCACTAGTTATTTCTAAGAAAGAGTATAGCTTCAGCAAGATCTTTGCTGGAGGGCCATAGATCCGATTTAATAATCTTCAGAGCTGAGAAGAGTCTTTCCACACTAACTTGAGTAGGAGGAAGAGCTCTTACTGTTAGGGCTACTTCTTTAATTTTTCAGGATAGATTTTTATAAGTTCTAAAAGAGGTGCCTTGCAAGCACAACCATGTTCCTCTATTTCTTCAAAGGCTGTGTATAAATCTTGTTTGTATTTTTCATTTTTATATCTAAAGGCTCTCGGTTCTTTATTTTCATTTTCTTGCCTTAGCCTTTTCAATATTATCCAAAGATATTTCTCAAAATCTAATTCATCACTGGAAAAGGATGATAACTGTAATGTCAGAACACCCGTGTTAAGTGTTCAACTCAATTAAAATGTCTGCAGTTTGACTGTCCTGATTTGAATTCTCCAGTTGTTCTGAGTTGTTCTTACCATTGTCCATTGTCCATGTACCATTGTCTTTTAAAATTAATTCCAAGTTTATCTTATTAATATGTATAGTAAATTTACTCATTCCCAGGTTTTCAGATCCTAAATTCCAACTTATAGGCACCTTGCATGTTGCAAAATAAGCAAGATTGTCCATGTCACTGGCGAATACACACTTCCTTGAAAATAGGTTCTTAATAAACAAAAATCTTTCTGGCATTAAAAATTGAAGTGTTATATATATATGTCATAATAAAAGCAAAGGAAAAGACGGAACACTGTAGATGCGTAATTAGCCCCATATTGAAGAAGATTTTGATTGCGTAGTATGCTAGTAATGCTAACTTGGTAATATCTAAAGAACTTGGCAGTCGAGGCAGTTTTAATTCCATTTTTATTTGCAACTGATATTTGTGGCCACAATCACTTGGCACTCTAGTCGTGCCTTTCCACAGAAGATTTACATTTTTGATACTGTTGGGAGAGAAAGCAAGCCAGCGAAATTACATCTTAGCACAGTAGAGAGCAAAAGCTGAAGTGTGTGTAGTTATGCAAGATGGAGGCACGCGAAGAGAAAAGTTTTGGTTTACAACGACAGTTTCAGTTCTTAATTATTACGTCATCAGAGTTGCACGGGCCATAGAGTGATCTAGAAATGATGCAATGCAGAGAAGTTATTACGATTTTAGAATAGAGAGGAAGAATTAATGTTTTATAGTTTAATCTATAATTTTGATTCATATATTTTTATCTTACATATATATATATACTTTTTTTAACTTGAGAAAATATATGTATATAAGTTATACAAATATTTTCCAGTCAATGTATATGAAATGTTATATATATATTCAAGTTAAATTATAGATATATATATAGTATTTTCAATGCACAGTTAGATAGATGGATGTTCAGCAACTTTCGATACACAAGTAGAAAGATGGGATATGACCCTGACACAAATGAATTTGAAGAATTCCCAATCTTTATTTTCACATATATAAAACCATCTTGGTAGACATTTATCCACACATAATGAAATACGATAATTTTTATGTACATTGGTTTGTTAAAGGTACAGTGTAGGCATTTTTGCAATGTAAAACAGCATGGTGTTGGCAGAGCAGAAGTTAGGGAAAGGAAGATGACGTAGTTACTTGCTAGCAATATTGATACCAAGTATATGCAGAAAGTATTCTAAGCTATGATTGGTTAATTTTAGTTTTAGTTACCTTTTTCAAGCAGTGTTATGTAACATTAAATGTCTCAAATTTGGGAGAACAGATGAACTTAGGGAGGGGAGGGAACATCAAATATAGAGTAGTAAATTTTAAGGTCGCCAATCGTATTTTGTTATATTTTACATATATATAAAACTTGAAACAATTATGCAAATAGGACTTGCAAAACAATATCCTGTGCAACTGCAGGTTGCATAACATAATTATTTACTACTTAAATTAAAACAAAACAGGCAAAGTATAATATAAAGACGGAAAAAATTTTTTTTTCAAATTTCTGTCATATTTTGCTTGTTTTGTTTTTTACTTAAAATACTAAATAATTACATATAGAGAGAGATACACTTTAAAAATTGATCAAGATAAATGATGTGCTGCAGATTCATAACAAAGAAGTTACAAACGTGGCCAAATTAAAAATATTTCTTTTTTATTTTTCATCGACAAACATTTCTGACAGTCATTTCATTGACAGACATTCATTGAAGTCAACACTAATAAACTGAGAGCAAACAGCACCTTACTTAAAGAACTTTTGGCATTTTTGATATCATTATAATAAGAAAAGAAACATCAGAGCAGTAGAAAGCATGTGCAGTGTGTTAGAGATGAAACTTTTATTAAAGGTGATTTAGTTTGGATTTTGATATCTTTTTATTGGCTAATTAATAACTTTCTAAAACTATTATTGACTGTTTGGGTTTCAGTTTTTAAAATTATCTACATCACTAGTGTTATGTAAAAGTCATATGAATGGCTATTAATTTTGAAATGATGCACTTTAGAGAGGTTTATTACAAGCAATTTCAATTTTTAGAACAGAAAGGGGAATTATCCAAATTAAGAAAGAGTTAGAGACTGACTGCAAATTAAAATTAAAAATTTGGTTTATGTAGTTTAACTTGCACACATGCATACATACATATATACATAACAGATGACATAATTCTAACTTTTTCATAAGCTACTAGTATTGTTTTATTAATTCAACAACTCACAGGCAGAATGTAATGGTAGAATTAGCATATGTGATTCAATTTAAGGATACTGCATTCCTAATTTTACAAATAGTGTGTTTATTTATCTACTTATTTATTCTGTTGTTTATGAGTGTAAAAGTTACTTTGAAAGTAATTTCATCAATAGTTATATATTTTTTTCAGTGTAAAATACTTTGATATTTTTAATAAAAAGACTTTCTTTACTTAAATAATTCCCTATTATTTACCCCTTCTTTTCCCTGTATGCTTTTTCCCTTGTACTGAGATTATTTTCTTTACATATATATGCATTAAAAATACAGGGTGTTTATAAAGTCCCGGACCCATTTTGATGTTTAATAACTCATAAAGTAATGAAGATATAAACAAACTTATGGCATTTATTGATGGAATAACTTGTATATTTTCCTTTTCAGGTTTGAATACCTTTACTTTTGTAAATATCGTCTGCGCGCATGGTTAATTTCAGATAATTTCATTTTCCAGTCCAAATATCTGTACTTTTCTAAATATCATCTGCTTATTAATTGCATTTTTCTCTCTTTTGTTTTTGGCAACTACTGCAGTGTTATGGGGATTTGTAAAGGACAATGTTTACAGGAGAGTGTCGAACATTGATGACCTAAAAGCCAGAATTACAACCGCAATAGCCTCTGTGGATGCCGACATGCTTGCCGGTACCTGGCGTGAAATTGAATATCGACTTGATATTCTCCGTGCGACGAAGGGGGCGCACGTGGAAGTTCATTGACAAAGGTCATGAAACTTTTTGAGTCTACCTAACCATTTATGTTATAAATTTTAATCTATCTTCATTATTTTATGAGTTATTAAACATCAAAATGGGTCCGGGACTTTATACACACCCTGTATAATCATTTTGTATTTAATAAATCCCGATTGAATAATTCATAAGGGCTATTCGGATTATTAACTATATGCAACACTCTAAACCTCATGTAAAAATTAGATAAGAAATGTGCAAGCAAAACTCAAGATCACATGACTAAAAATTTGCAAAATTCTCTGCTCAGCACAAACCTTTGCATATGTGGATTATTAGAATTGTGTCATATTAAAAGTAGACATAACATTGCTTGCAGTTTATTTGGCTGCAAACCAAAAGTATGCTTGATATTGTTTTGATATAAATGATCATACTCATAATTTAAAAGAATGCATAATTACAGTAAAATACAAGTATGTCAACACAGTAAATATGTTTGTGGTTAAACACATCTCCAAATTATTGAATATTTATTTATTAGGAAAAAATATGTGGTGTGTTTTTACGGATCAATATTCTAAATTAACAGAATTTCCAATAAGCTTGAATGCAGATTTATAAAAAATTTTAAAAACCAAAAATTGTAATTATGTTTATATATATAATCATTTTTACTTCCTTGTACATTGTAATCACTAAAAATTTTAGGTATCATATTTCAATAAAAATACCAATTTTGAGCATTTGTGAATCCATTTGGATGTTTTTTTTGAGGGGGTTAACATCTGTACTTACAGACAGAATAAAGGACTGTTTCCTTCCAAAAATGGATTGTAAAATGGATTCAAAAGGGACCTTTTCTTGATGTATGTATGTATGTATTTTGCGCAACTCAAAAATGATTAGCCATATAATGTTGAAATTTTGTATATTGGACTCCTATAATATGTAAGTTGCACCTACATTCTTATTGCAATGGACAGAACCAATATATGTATATAATATGTGCATGTGTGTGTATATATATATATATAATATGTGTATCTGTACATAATACATGTATGTTGTTGTGTGTGTGTGTGTGTATGTGTGTATATATATATCCACTCTCTTATCCGCTCTTTATCTTTGCGATCATTGGTCATAGTCATACACCTCCAACTACAGAAGTGTTTTATATGATGAAAATATTCATGCTATGACAATATTATTATTTTTTTAATTAATTTTTTTCAACAAGTAAATAAAATTTAACTTTTAATTCAGTCTCCCCATTCCTATACGTATATTTGGGAAAGTTTTATACTTATTATGAGAAATAAAATTATAAAAAGTTAGACTTCCATATGACAAAAATTGAACGGGATATTTAAATTCAAAATTTGCAATTTTTGATGTCCTTTTCAAATTGCCTTGAGAAATCAGTTAATCAAGTTTGAATAATTCAAGGAAATAAATTTAAATGAAGTGCAGCAAATAATGTGTATAATTTAATAGGTCATACAAGGAAGTTATGTGATGGCAATATCAGATTTTTTACAAATGTAATTCTATTTTGATTTAAAACTGAATATTTCATACCTGCTTTAAAACATATTTATTATTATTATTTTGGATTTTTTCCCTTGTTAAAAATTCAATTTTAATATCATTTTGAATGCTTTTACATATTTATGCTTTAGAACACAAATAACTATACAATTCATTACTTTTAAAAAAGATTAAATTTTGTATATTACTTGTGCCTGTACTCCTGTCACTTAAAGTTATTCTATCTGTTATCTGGCCTTTTTCAGTGACAGATTTTTCTTTACCCTTGGAACCACTTTTACGCCTAGGACTGGTGGCAACTGTTGAGTAGGCAACTTCCTGAAAAATAGTATAGATACTTATTGATCTGTCTTATCTCATAACTGTGCTTATGTCCAAAAGTATTAAATAATGGCATACATGAAATCAGAATCTCCACTACGATACAACATAAACATTATGTTAAAATGTAATATCTATTTTAATTTTTTTTTTTTAAGAGACACCTTCTCTCTGGAATAAAGTGCAAAATTCTACATACAATAGGCATGCAGAGTTTTACACACTTGTAAAAAAATCATTAACGTAATATGATTCTGAAACCAGTCGATTTCTTCCTTTGAGAGTACCTTTTAATCCATGACATTTCAAAATCAATGATTTGGAGCAATCACCAAGGAATTAAACAACCTTCCATTGAACTGTGAAACAGCAGATACATAAATGTCACTTACTTTCTCTAAGCATATCTCAATCCTGAAGGCAAAAAAGTTTATTACTAATATTAAAAATATGTAAATCTACTTCCGTCATGTATTTCTGAAATCTGAAACTTACTATGACCTTTTTTAAATCATATCACTAATTATGTTACCGAATCTATACCACTGCATTTATATATTCATTAGTACTTTCTCAAAATAAATGCTGGCAGGAAATCGAACGTAACCTTACAAATACATACAATTTTATGGAAAGTATGACTATTTTATAAATTCAGAATAAATACAAATCAAAGATAAATACAGAAATTCATAAACAATAATGCATGTAGTTATACCGGTAGACAGTTACACACTATTTCATTCCTAAGTTGTAGTTGGCAGAATTCTATCCATGTGAGCTCTTCACACCAGGAATCAATAAATCAAAATAAAAAAAATAAAAAAATTGTCAAAAATATATTGTCAAAAAAGAATATTATCAAAAAAGAAATGTGTGAGCTTTCAAATCAGCTTTAAAATTGCTCTGTAAGCCTTTGTTTCGGTGGCTTGATTTTACATTGAAGCACCTTTCCATGTTTTGGTAATAATAAAAAATAAATCACATTTTATGGCTCTAAGAAATATGTCTTTTATTATGGATGATACCTTTGTCATGGAAGAACTGAATCATGATGATTCATTATCCTGTGACTGCCATATCATTATTATTACTTCTTTCTTTTTTTTTATCAATATTAATTCTTCTCGATTATTTACAATTATGTTATTGCATAGTCAACTCATGGGGTAAAATAAACAAGTTACCACATCTGGCCCTTTTGTTATAAAATTTTCTTCAATTCTAGTACCATTAACCAGAAATTACATTTTCCTTTTAAAATGATACTTTAAGAAGGTATAAAATGAATAAAAAAACTATTTGTGGGAAACATATTTTAAAAGGAAAAACACACAGAAAATTTACCTGAATTTCACTTTTAAGACTGGCATTAGAATCAGAACTTTGATTAGGAGATACAAGAGATGGTACGTCAGCAGGACTACTTAAAATATTTGAACCAACTTCTTGAGGAGATACAAAAGAGGTGATATTGGATTTAGTATGTGGGAAATGAAGAGGCCTAAAAAAAGAAGCAATTAAACAATGCATGGCATTAAAATCATGAAAACAAAATATTTAATATAAAAAATAAACAGTTTATACAACAAAGGCAGACAAGTTAATCATTTGTTTCTATTTAAGCTTTCCCTTAAAAGCAACATAAAAACTTATTGGATATCAGAATTACTAAAATGGACTATTCAATTCTAGCTGGCATTTTTTATGATGAAAATTTTATGATGTTCCTAGCAATTTTTTAAATAAATTACATTACATATGTGAATAAACTTAATTGTATTATTTATGCATACAGGTACATAAATGTAATAATGCTTTCAAAAGGGTGAGAAAAGTGACACGAATAGTATAGGGATTTTACTCAGTTTAATATTTTGTTTTTAGTTGACTTGTAACATAAATTATGTAATAAAACCTTTTTTTTTTAAATGTAAAATGCTTCAGTCAAAAAGCCAAATAAGATCAAAGTGTGGTGTTTATTAATTTAATTATAGGTAACCTGAAGCATGGTTTTAATACCAAAAACAATGCTTTAGACTACATATAACTAAATTACATTAATTTCAGTCTTTTTAATAATTAATTAATTAATTCAGTCCATCAAATTATATTAATTTCAGTCTTTTCCTTCCCCCTAAAGCCTGGGCCCACCAGCGGCCGAGCGGTAACCTCGCTGAACACTGGTAGTTCGGTCCGAGGTTCGAATCCCGCGAACGGGCTGGCTGCATGGGTGTTTTCGTGGTTTTCCCCATGTGTAACGTGTATACGAGCCAGTTTCCCTTAGAAAGTCCTCCACGAAGGCATCCCTCCTCATAGGCAGATAGCCCTCGTGTGCTTTGCCATAATTAAATACACCAAATACACCCCTAAAGCCTTCTGCAATCTAATGTAGGATATTTTAAATGCTTTATTATCAATTTTATGATTTTCCTTTTTCCTCTGATTTTCTGTTTCAATTCTTTTTCTTAACCAAACTTTAAATGATTTCTTTTCTACTTCTATTTCAACCAAAACTCCAGCTTCTCCCCCCCCTCAGGGTTCATTCTTTCTTTTTCTCTATTTTTCCTACCCATCTTCCACTCTTTTTCTTTCCTAAAAAAAAACTTAAGATAGCATTTTGTAGACAGTTGGAATAGAAGTTATTATTTGTCTGATTACTGGTACAAGCTCAGACTTATTATTATAAAACTTGAAAGCATTTTTAACTCTCAAATATGCACTGAAAACGTGTTTTGACATTCTAGAACGTACTCAATATGAATGTTCCCTGAAAAAGAAATACTCGCTATTCGCAGATATTTCTATGAGAAAAACACAAACATCAAATTAATTAGTTTGGATAATTTAATCCACCAATTGCATGTAGTTTATTCAAAAGAAACTTGAGCACTAGTCTATACGAATAATAACCTTAGCTTTAAAATCATCTTCAAGCTAAAAAAGTATTCATTCATGAATTAACTTAGCAGATAATATACTGAAAAGGGACATTCTTAACAATAGCTAAACAGTTTGTTATAGAAATTTTTAGTATTATCTTATCTGATGCCAAAAATCTAAAATCTTTTACCAAATGAGACCTTTAATGATAACATGTCTGCATCATTCTGTACATTCTAAGAGTAACTGTCTTTTACAGATGCTGCTCCCAAAGTTATTTTTACCTAACCAATGATAGCCATTTATAATAATGGAAACAAAATTTTGGTTTCAAAAACCATATCTGCCTCTCTGTCAATTTGCTGCTGTACACACTTCCAACCACAATATATATGCCCTGCATGGTAGAGGGTATGTATATGGACAATTATAAATAGACCAGATAAGAAAGTTACTCCAGTTTCAATAAGAGACCAGTCAAGTGAGAAAATAAAAGAGCATTTGCATGAAAAATTAGAAGCTGCACTTTTATTGTTATCTATTGTTGGTAATGAGTAATGAATTTAAACAAATCAGTTGTGTATTAGTTTAAATCAGTATTAGTTTTGAATCTCTTTTAATGTAACATACTACTGACATGCTCGCACAACTGAGAAACTAATAAACACAATATAACATGAAATTAAAAAAAATCAGCTAGAAATATTAAAGCAGTTATATAATGCTACAGCAAAGAGATAGTGCTATTTCCTGGGTTTAAACATAAAATGTTTGAATACACAGATACAGTCCCCTTCCCCCAAATTTTGTTTTAATTGTGAAATGAAATTTACACACATAAATGTGAATGAGAATGCACTTTTTTATTAGACAGGTTTTACAGAAATGCAGCAAGATATCCCAATTTCTTTAAATTAAATATAAATATAATTTTAATGAATAAATGTTGTTTTAGCTACTGCAAGTATCTAAAAATAAATAAGGAAATTCATGCAAAGAAATGAATATGTCTCAGTTCCCTTTTTCAATTACTTGGGTCATGGAATGAAAATCAATGGTATATGTTGATAAATTGCAAGACTGTACCTATAAGAATGTAAAAGTGTACCTCTTTAAAAAAATTACTTTCAGCGAGATTATTATTATTTAAAATAAACACACCATGACATCTACAGAATAAAACATCATTTTTTTTTTTTTTAAATCAAGTTACAAATAAGCACATTTAAAGTATTAAACTAGAATTTATATACTTCACTTTTTGAAATTATGTTCTCTTTTAAAATTATAAGCATTATTTAAAGACAAAAAATTCAAATTAAAATAGAACAATTTTTTGAAGGAAAATTAATTCACTGTAACAATAAACCTTTCTCTAAAAAGGACTATGTAATTAAATAAGCATACACAAAATATAGTACATTACTTAACAGAATTTATGTTAAAGAAAAAAAAAGAAATTCTACTAAAGCTACAGAAACTGCAGTAGAATCAAACTTACCTCGTTTTGGTATTCAGAACTTCTAATTTGTCAGGCCCAAAAAGAATTTTAGTCCTTTCCATATAATCCATGTGCGTTTTGAAAAGCTTTAAAAGAATTTAATTTTTTTTTAAACTGTTGTTTTATTTACTAAATGTCATTAAAGCCAACAAACTGAAAATCAAAATGAATTTTTCTGGGCTATTTTCATGCTCATTTACAACTCTTAATAAGTTCTAAACCATAGAGAAAATATTTTACTTCAGTATATCTTTCATGAAGTATAGCATACTCCTTTTTCATTTCCGAATCTTTTTCTTCAAGACGAGAAGCTGGCAAAAAAATAACAACAATTTATCAAAATTAGTAAAATATCAAGTTAAGTTTAAAAACAAATTGTCTATTACACACCCAACAATACATCACCAGACAACAAAAATTTAAATAAAAGTATAGCTTTTGCATATTATTAATTAAATTAGCTGCAGAATTTTTGTTATCAATTTTTAATAAATTACTAAACAGATGTCTATCTTTCCAAATGAATCAAATCTATTTTGCTACATTTTTATTTGTAAATGCATTGATAATTTATTAATAAATAATTTTCCAATACGTATTTAATTTAAGCACACTAAAAATGCTGTAAGCTTTGCATGTTTGTCAGACTGATAGGAAACAAGCATAAGAATATAAGGAATAAGATAAAATTATGTAAAAGAAAGATTGGGTTTGTGTTCATGCTATAAAAATTGAAATTTGATAAAAGTATCAGAAAATGCATCCAAAAATGTATTTAAAAAAAAAAGAGAGACAGAGAGAGCTAAAGGACATTTAGACATTATGTTTCTAAATTCAAAGATCTGCACTGTACTCCAAAATATAATTTATAATAACATAAATGTTAATTTTAGAAATGCTCCAAGCAACAAAATATACCAATTACCATAAAACATATAACATTTTATTTCCCCCAAAAAAACACACTTTCATAAATTCAATTTTCAACATTTGTTTACTTTTATGTAAAAACCTTTACTCTTTTTCAGTACAACAAACTATTTCAAATTATCATACATACAAAATGACAGGCTGCAGTTTTTTAAGCATTCATAACCTTTCCATTATGAAGGCCTTAAGATAGTCTAATTTGATTTAAAAAAACTTTTTCTTTCATTTCAAAAAACAAAAAGAGTGACACATATGTCACTTGCAAGAAGAGTAATACTGGAAGCTTCAGAGCCAAGTAAATACTGACAGAAATGCAAATAAAAACAATATACAATTTTAGTAACTTTTCAAAATATTCCATAACATTTTCCTTATTTCCTTATTTATGACAAATATTTATGTCACACAGTCGAGCAAGAATTTATATTAATGAAAATCCTAAATTACCATGATCAGAAGAATTTTTTGCTTTGAGTTCTAACATGCGCACAATGGATTCTAAACTCTCAACTTTCGCTAATAAATTTCGTCTATCATCATCAGTAGAGTATTCAATTTCAAGTAGCCTCTGAAAAACATAAATATGTATAATTAATAAGTAGATAAACGGGTAGTGTTCGCAGTACTAGATGATATGATAGACACTTAATTAAAAAAATTGAAATGATGGAAAATAAAGGATCAGTACACATCTCTATTTTCTAACCTGTTCAGCTGATTTTCGAAGCTGTTTTTCTCTTTCGTATTGCGTAACAAGTTGTTCATTGTCTTCCCTCAAAAGTTCTAATTCTACTTCATGCTCTTGATTGTCCATAACTGCAGAATCAAGACTCTCGAGGACATTAACAACAAGAGGCATAAGTTCTTTAACCACATCTTCATCGTATTTTTCTATCATACGTTCTAGTTCCTGATATATGTTTGAAGCTAAGCTCTGTACTTTTTCGGACATAACATGACTATCGTCAGAGTTAGTGCCATATATCGTTTCTTGCATAGGGGATTCCATTGTTAATCTATTAGTAAACTAAATGATCAGAGAAATCATCGCTGCAGAATCTAAATACAAGGTTATTTTGAAAATCAAAATTTTACGGCTGCCAATAAGACTTTCCTCGCGATATGCTATAAATATCTGCTCCTGAAAAACTATTAACAAGCGTCATATTTTGTACCCAAACCAAAACGATCAATTCATATACATTAAAAATTACATTACAAGGTAAATAAACATCACGTAACACAGAGCTTGTGATTGCTTAAAACTTTTTTAATGATTACGATAATCTCACATTCTTTGTATCGATGTCGTGAAACAGCTGTCGGATGTTAATCTGGTTCATTGCAGTCCGACTGCTTCTGCAGAAATGGTTTCCGTATTATCCACGCATAAAAAGTATTAGCTGGTCTATATTTGTTCATATTTAAGGTGTCACAAAACAATGCCAGAATGTCAACTATAATGCATTTAATTTTTAATTTTTTGGAACTATTATTTAATATAAAGTAAAAATAAGTATAAATCAAATGTATAAAGTGTAAGTTATGTAAAAATTATTCTTCTTGTAACTTAAATTTAAGCTAAAATATATTCAGTAATTTGCGAGAGTTGTTTGATCGCCAAAGCACATGCGAAGAAATGCCTATATCCAATTGGTCTATTTCCACGCCTATCGAATTGATTTCACTTTTTGTTGCCCTGCTTTGGCAACACACCTTTAGAGCTTTGTCGTTGGAAGAATTTGGTTGCTAAAAACGTAGCTGATCTAAGACTGTTGTAATTCTTATTTTAAAGCTTATCTGTATTGCTGAATTATTACTAAAGGTTTATGTGTGAATGTTTTACTATTAAATGTAAGCAATTGAGTTTGAATTGACCAAGAGTGGTTGAATTTATTAAGGATATTTAAAATCGGAAATACTTCATCTATTTTGGCGCCACTAATACAGGAACGTAAAGAAATGTGAGCGGGCTATTTGTGTTCCTCGGGTGGGGAGAGTTGCGGAACATAGCTATAATTCCGAAATATGTCAAGATCTGTAGAAGAATTTGGAATTCCTTCTATAGGCTTTGTAAATATCTAACTTTCGCGTCCCAAGAAACACAGATACCTGGTTCAAATTTTACTACCTTAACATCTAATACACAGATATCAACATCGACGGACATCACTTAACTTTACAGCAACTCATTTAAATAAACTTAATCATCTTCATACCTATAAAAATAATTTAAAGTATAATTGTAATCAATTACAAATATTATCTTCTTCTCTCATGTACATTCTCCATCACCATTTTTTGTCGAAAGATCAGCTACCAAAAGAAGTTTTAGCGGTTTTTTGGTTGCATTTCTGGTTTTTAACCGGACCTCATTAGCTTTAAACAGCCTCAGGATCTTTTTTCGTTTCACATAAGAAATTTTTAAAAATATAATCAAAGATCACTTCGCTTTCTGAAATTGCAGAAGATGATATTCGTCGTTATAACATTAACATCCCCACAGTGGTTGGACTAAGCAAAGAACGTGAAAGAAAAGGGATCAACACTCATTCATGTTCCATTTCCATTCATATTCCCATTCATGTTACATTTTCTGTTTTGTCATAAGACTATCTTTGGACAATTTGATGGGTGAGGCTGTGCCTATTTTGAGTAAGTATTCATGTTCTTGAACACTCTATCCAATGTCAATCTTCCAGAGAGTTCAAATATTATTGCAAGGCTCCGTATACAGTATTTTATACCTCTGCGAAATTTTAAAAAAAGAAAAGAAAAAAATTAATTTCATGAAACTATATTGGCCACGACAACTAATTTATTATGCGGTACTTCTTGAAGACCCGAAATAAATTAATGGAATCAATTTATGACACATTTATTTGCAACTTTTCATTCTTTTTGCCTGAGCAGTTACAATGTCTGTGTATAAATTTGTACTGATACTTCTGATTTCCGTTTTCCCTACCAGAATGCGAATCAAGTTAAAAATATTTAAGATGAGGCTTTTAGATTGTAAGACATAGAGTATTTCTGCATCTCGAGGCCACGTCACTAGGTTTCTCAAGCTAAAATAAGATAGTAGTCTTCGTCTCTGCGTCATAATTGCCGACCTTTTTATTATTACATTGGTGAGAAGTTTGAGCCAAGATAGGTAAACTAAATGATAAATCCGTTAGATAAACCTAAATCTAGTAGTCTTCGACCATTGGATTTAGGTTTAACTTCAGTTTGACTTATTTTGAAGTCATCTCTGTACAGGTGGTTGGCTGACTTTGTTAAGCACGAAACTTGTATTTTATATTCAGGGTTCTGATTTAATAACAAAACGTTATTTTGTAACCTTCTCAAGCCTTTTTCGCTATCTTCAGACAAGCGATAATTAGCTCTAAGTCTGTTAGAAGTTTAATGTCATCGTTCATTTGGATTCGAGAGCGGTCAGAATGGATATTTTCGGTAAAATATGATACTCAAAGATTTTCGCGGTAGCAATACTTCCTTTACTTCTCACGAGGAAGTAAAAATATTTTTGTTTTGCAGTTGGCAACTAGTTACCGCTAAAGCCATTCGGTAACTAAAATCAGATCTTCGTTTAGTTTATGTTTTTTATAGTGAGTCTTTTTTTCACTTCCAACCTGATATACAGCATTAAAGTTTAATTTTAAAATGTAATATTGTAACGTCTCGAAATACTTTTTTTACGCATAGCAATGAATTGCACTCGAATTGAAAGAAACTTTAAACGTGTACAGTAAAATATATTAATAACAGTGACCTGATTTATAATAGCAGTAGTTTTGATTTCTTCAGAACTTTAAACCACATATACTCAAGTAGTATGTATAACATACAAAAAAATTTACAAAAAAAAAAAAAAATAAATAAACAATTTATCCGAAAGTGGGTATACTGCAAACAGAAGATTTAGAAAGGCCCGGAGATATAATATTTGGCACATAAACTCTTCAAAGGGATATGTAAATTTTTGTCAAAATTCGTTTTAATTTTTTTAAATTTAATGTTAAGAAATAATAATATTAAAGATTTAATAAATAATATTAATAAAAACTTTACTAGTTATTCTATTATTAAGTATTTCTTAGAGATAATTTTCGCATCTATCCTTGCTTAAAAACCCACTATTCACTGCAAAATTTCAGTTTTTGAGCTATTGGATGAATGGAATACTATTCATCGTAAAATTTTAGTTTCTACGTTATTTGATAAGTTATACCTCAAATGGAATTTGCATTAAATCTCTGGGGCAATTTACCAATTCTTCCAAGACAATTCGATTTTTTTTTTCATTTGTCTAATACTTTAAAATTTCGAGCTTAGGAAATCTGCTGTGTGACGTCTTGGTAGTTTCACATTATACAAACGATCATTTTTTACTTTTCTCAGCCAACAATGATTATCAAAGGACTGATGAATGGATGCATGGGCCATCCCTCCATTCCATCCATTTCATTCCATCCATCCGTTTCATCCATCCATTCCATCCATCCACTCTATCCATTCCATTCATTCATTCATCCATCCATTCCATCCATCCGTCTATTCCATCCATCCCGTCTATCCATCCATTCCATCCATCGATCCATCCATCCCTCCATTCCATCCATCCCGTCTTTCGTAGTCATATGCTTCCAATTACAGATGTTCTTAAATGACGAAAATATTCCTGTTTTGCTAATGTCAAATTAATTTTTTTTTTTTAATGGGGGACAAATAAGGAACTGTAACTAGCATGGTCTCCCAGATCCTATATTTTTATTTGGGGAAGCTTATGCCCGTTATGAAAAAAGAAAATACAAGAAGTTTGATACGACAGGAATTGACCTGGATATTTTATTTCAAAATTTGTCGTTTCTGGTATCATTTTCACTTTGCCTTGAGTGATTGTTTAATTAAGCCAGAGTAATTCAAGGAAGTAACTTTAAATAAAGTGCAGCAAAAATTGTGTAGAATTTAATAAGCAGTACAAGGCTGTTGTCTACATCGTGTTCTTTAAATTGACATCAACCAGCTTTCCCTAACTTGCATATCTCAGATATCAAGATTAAAACTTCACTCTGTTAGCATATTTACTGCTTCAGGAATTAAAGTAGATGGTCAATCCTACATAACCAAGAAAGTGTTTTTTAGTTTCTCACGCGTCTGTGTCATACAGGCGCCTTTTAAATAATGCAATTTATTGTACGTTAATTTGAAGTCATTTCCAGAAAGCCCATGGGAAAGATTTCCAAGCTTTTGAAACTTAAGGAAGTCAAATTTTAGAGTTTCCTTACAGCGTAAATTCCTAGATGTAGTGAGCTGAGTACGGAGGGCTGAATCAGTTACTGTGAATCAGTTACTTACTAAAAACGTGAAGCATGACTTGAAGAAAATAGCATGATAGATTGATAGATGCTGAATCAATTGCAGAAAAAACAACCTCAGGGCCTGAAATAATGAATGAAGCCTGAAATAAATCAAACTGATGTATTCCTAAGCAAATATTGTTCGAACAGAAGGTGACATATAATGCGCATTATTCAATCAGCCTTAAGCAATAGGGTCAGTCAACATAATTCCAATTATCTGGATAAATATTTCAAAACAGGCGAAAAATCAGCATTATACGTTCACAAAACACGATGCAAAGTTCTGCAGTTGAAAGTCTAAATCAGCAGAAGATACTCGGTTACGAAAGGGAGCACAGGCCTTTAAAAATTAGCAACCATTTACAGGCTGTCAGTGGCGTAGCTAGGGTGGGGCAAGGGGGGAATCTGTCCCCGGGCACAGATGCAAGGGGCGCCAAATTGATGCTACGAAATTTTTTAATGAAATGTTTTCCTTTCTTGGCACACAGAAAGGGGCGCAAATTTTCAGTTGTCCCCGGGCGCTGGAGACTCTAGCTACGCCCCTGCAGGCTGTGAGGGTTAGCAAAGTATTTATAACAAAGAGAATTTGCAGTTAAAAAAACTAAAAAAAATTTTTTTAACAAAAATTGCAACTCTTTCTTTTTTTTTTTTTTTTTTTTTTTTTTTTTTTGTCCTTTGATCCAACCAATTTGTATGTAAAATTTTCGGCATTTTTATTTCGGATATATAGATTTTTAGGCCAAATGGGCAAAGAATGTCTATTAGTCTCAAAGCGATATTTTGCGTCAAATCACTTTAAAAGTCCAAATCACTTTTCAGATTGATGCCACCAAATATTATTGTCCAGTATTATATTTAAAGGAACTAAATAATTAAGAATCGGTATGAATATATGTAGGTTTTTCGCACTGTGAAAAAA